TAAACTTCCAATAAGTAACTAAAAACTCTGAAACTCCCTTTTAGTTCGTTGGTGTGAAGTGCAATATGGCGAGTCTGTGTGTTCCTTTCTRGGTGGTAAAGTATTACTTAAAAAAGGAAGCATCARGGTTATCACAGTTGCCTGATTCTACTTTTGCTGCATGTCATTGCCTTGATGATAACAATGGACTCAATATTAACACGTTTGAAACTAAGCTGCGCAGGCTAGCAATGCTAATTGATAAAATGGTATAAATGACTTCACATTTTGTTCACGCGTGTAGAAACAACTTGGTGTGAAAGTTCATTTTATGTGGAAGAACATTGTATGAAAATGTAATGTTCATAGATCCATTCGTTCCAAACTCACATCCCCTTATTCATAGTGCACTCTAGTAAAAGATGTCCCGYCTCTATAGGGTTAAGAACTTCGTCTTGACATTTCTTAAAAGAATTTTTTTGTTGAGATTTCTTTTCATTTTCTCTTTCCTTTTCTTTCAATATTTCTGCAGACAGGTGTAGGTATATAGATAAATAATTTATTGCTATTCACAACCACTTCTGTTTAGTGGTCTTTAGCTATAGTGTCAAAACAATCTTGKCAAACTACAAAAGTCGAGAAGGAGAACGTACCATTGTCTTTGYATGAAAATCATGCAAAAAATGACGGAAAAGAAGAAAAACATAAGTCATCTTGCTCCTGTTGTTCAGATTTTGACATTCATGATGATTATGGCATGTAGCAAAGGTAAGTTGAAAATGTCTTTGAGAAATCATAATTCGCCGAATTTAAGTCATGTTAGCAGTATTCTATATTACGTTTTATCAACGTACTATACTGTAATCGACCAAGTTCAAGGTAAGGAATTCAAAGACTTTTTTGGGGGTATGTCACTRACATAGTGTTGGCGAGTGGGAACGTTATTAAGGTGTTTCGATCGTAATAAATAGCGCTTCGCGCGTATCTTTAAAATCAAACTACGTCGCAAATTTCGGTTCAATTGCWCTCAAACTTTCACAGAAGTCACAGTGAGTATCAATAATTCTTTGTTGATAAATTAATTTGACAAAAAGCGAAGCCATTTGGATAAAACGATGCAAAATAAAAACASCTACATTTTTATTACATGGGCTTCCTGTGGAAGACCATGTCTAAAATTACCGACGACTTTCCTTCAACATGCTTCAAAGTGGTATATCCGGGACCTTTTCTATTGTGTTATTGTCATTAATGTTTCTAAGCAACCGCTTGCCTCGTGCTTCATTTCGGACCTAGTTTAAGGATCGTTTATATTAGAGATAGAAATCACGGATCTAGCTACTACAAATACGCTCAAATCTCTTACAAATCCACGTGTCATTAGCGGTATAGAAACACTAAATGATGTCGAGCGTTTTTCGAAAGGGCATTTGTAGGGATACCGTGAATTGATCGTGAATCTTCCTATCGTGAATAAGCGAATTATATACGGCTCTGCAATCACAAAAGACTATCTAAGGAATGCAAACAGTGTTATACTGAGGAAAATGAAATGATTGGAAGTATTTTAAGCGTAGAACATGAAAGACTATCGACTTGTGTTTACGAGGAGTGGCTCGTCAATAACATACTTACTTCTTTCACAATATTATGCTTAATGCTATAAAGTACATTGCTTGTTTTATTATTTTTATTAAAAGAAATATTTTTGCTTTAGTTTTAGTAATATTAACTTTATTAGGGCTCAATATAATACGATACCACAGGAAGCCCATGTAAACGATCGCTGATCGTCTAGTTCAAAATTAATTTTCTCGAAACTCATCGCAGAGATTGTAATAAAATTTTCAGAATCATCCACTTCATAGACTTTTTTTTAATCTTAATTTTTTTAATAATAATTAAAAAAAAGAATAATTTTTTAATAACATAATTGATATACTGACGAAGTTTCAATTAAATCTTAACCTAAAATTTCGAGTTGTTCGAATGTACATAATTTTGCTCTAACATTCAATATTTTTCATTGAAATATGTTTGCTTATATATTCTGGCAATGCATCTATATTATGTACGGATTAAAGAGAATAGCCTCTGCTAAACATTTAGGAGATAACCACCTGCGTTATTAACGTTACAGTAGGGGTGCTTTCCATTTAGGCTTTCCATTTAGGCTCATTTCCACTCTATTTAGAGGTATATAATCATGCTTTTTGTCAACATGTTTCAGTCATTTCGAGGTTTTCTCTAGAATAATGGATAGAATTTGAAAATTTTAATTTCCTAACTAAATGGGAATGATATAATGACATTTTCTCTGGGTCTTGCCAGCCATTTCTGACAAATGGAAAGCGCACTAGGTTCGCTCGTTTCTCGCTCGTGCGTTATATGATAAAAACAACTTGTGAAGTCTGTGAATAGTCTAATCCCGTTCAAAGCACTTTCCATGCTGTAATTGTTTTTATAAAATTTTTGGATATATAACGCGCGCTCTGATTGGCTGACGACCGTGTTTATATCAGAAGACAGAGACACGGCTTACCGGCAAAATTTTCTTTTCGCTCGAAAAATTTTATAAAAGAAATATAAAACGGCCGCATGTGTCTCTGTCATCTGATATAAACACGGTGGGAGCTGAAAAACACTCGAGAAGCAAGAGAAACGCTCGTGTTCCTAAGCTTGCTTCTCTCGTGTTTTTTGAACTCCCACCGTGTTTATATCAGAGGACAGAGACACGCGCGCCGTTTTATATTTCTTAATTATAATGTTAGGTGCTTTTCCGGGGAACTAATGAGCAATTTCCGAATACAATCCACTCTACTCCTATTTTTCAATCTTTTTAATGTTTTAATCTTCTCTGTTGGTATAGGAGAAAGAGGCTGTAGAGAACTCAAATATCTCAATTGTATTGAAAACAAAACGTTGACTGGTCACGTGATCAAAACCACCAACSTCATAGCGCCAGGACTGGAGGAATGTCAAATGAGGTGCTTTGCTGTTCATGATTGTGTCTYGTACAATTTGGGACCARWAAATGRTCACAGAAGAACATGCGAACTGAGTTCATCTGATCATTGGACATTCCATGATGCTCTTAAAGACATGAAGGGCCATGAATACTGCCCTATCAAGGTAATCATGACGATGATAATCAKATTCTTGACATAAATAGGGACAGCCATTTAAGTCAATACTTCATGTTATACAGAATCGSTGTTCGTCGAAACCTTGTCCAACTGCTAAACCGCTCTGCTATCCTGACTTTGCTTGGGATAAGCACACCTGCAGAGGTGAGTCTTCGATCGAATGCATTTTTATTTCCCAATTCCTTTTCCTTATTAATAGAAAATCAAGGTCACAGAAGGAATCATATCAGCCCTTTGTTCCGGTAGTTTTAGAACACAAGCTAGTCTTTGTTTGTTACCAAGACGACGAGGACGCTACTCGTTCTTCTGTACCTTGTGATCTCATTGACCCTTGTGATCTCATTTTCTTGTGTCTATTCATTTGTTCATACAGTTTTCTTTATTTGTCTTGTGTTTATTTCTATTTCATTTTTTTATGTTCAGATGGTGTCTGGGGAACATGGGGTCCGTGGTCAGTTTGCACTTGCCAAAAATCACGCATTCGCGCTTGCCAATCTAGTACAGGAGGACAAGCATTTGACTGTGGCCCTGGGCCGAGCACAGAAACTAACGCATGTCCAATTTCAATAGCGTCAGGTTGGTATCTTAAAATAGGCAAAGCAAAATATTACGTTCCTGTTTTTATAAACAATTGTCGTTTTAGACATGGCGTCATCCAGAACTAAACATCAGGCAGTCGATGTATGTTTGTTTTTTGTGTTTTGTTTTTGTGTTTTGTTTTTTGCGTGTGTGTGTGTTTTTTTTTTGTTTGTTTGTTTGTTTGTTTGTTTGTTGTTTTTTTTTATGAAAAATCGTAGCCGTTTACTGAACTCAGTTAATGTAACTATAATTCAATGTTATTGTCTTTTTTCAATATTGATGAGTGAGTTTTACAAACCTGGACATTCCAAACAAGTCATTATTAACAAATAGTAATTTTCATAGAACAATGTTCTAAAGCGCTTGGTATGGAGGATGGGAGCATCCCAGATAGTCACATCACCGCCTCCTCGACTCACGACAATATGTGTTTACCCAAATTCGGTAGACTTCACAGGAAGTACACGAATTTAAATATCGACGGRTCCTGGTGCTCCAAAATTGCGAAAATAGACGAYTTTTTACAAGTTAAACTGGGATCCACAAAGATGGTGACAAAAATAGMAACACAAGGTCGAGATATTTTACACTCAGCAAAGCAGTTCGTTACACAGTACGCCATTTCATACAGTACTGATGGCTCTACTTGGGAGAACTATTGCACCCCCTTAAAGGTAACGGCATACATTATATATTTTACAGTGCGAACCGAAAAACCGTGGGGAAATATAAATATTTCGAGAATGTGTATTTGAAAAGTGACTTTAGCTGACAAACAAGAACACATGATGAAAWACATAAATGGATCGACAAACTTTGTGTTTATTCTAAACAACGAAATTATACTATTTGTGAGCTTTTAACAGGCCATTGTTTGGTGATAAACTAGTTTTGTTTATTTGAAACGCTGAAGTTTTGATTAAATTTGCACGTGAAAATGCACTTGGTGACGGTTAATCTCGCTTCTGATTGGCCAATGAACATTAAACATTCCAGAAATATTTCTAGGCGGTCACGGTTTTTCGATATGTACTGTAACATGTGCAATGAATCATTTCCGTGTAAAGACGCAACTTCCAGTATTAACAAGATCGAGGTGAAGATCTTTTTCAAGTTACAATCAATGGTGATTCCTATAGAAACCAATAGCAATTTTCTGTCCATATTGCTTCTTTTTATAAAGAAATACGAAAATACGTTGTAGTTGGAGTTTAATATTTAAGAAATATGAAACGGCGCGCATGTCTCTGTCCTCTGATATAAACACGGTGGGAGTTGAAAAACACGAGAGAAGCAAGGTTAGAAACACGAGCGTAGCGAGTGCTTTTTTAACTCCCACCGAAAAAATTTTTTGCTGGTATGCCATTTCTCTCTCCTCTGATATAAACACGGTCGTCAGCCAAACAGAGCGCGCGTTATATATCAAAAATTTTATAACACATGATAATTGGTCTAAGCCTTCGCTGTTTACACTCGTGTCATCTTATATAACAACCATGCTGCTAAAGGAATGTCATCAACGTTTTAAAATCTCTTCCTTTTTGTTTGCCATATGTTGCATTAACAAGAACTT